CCAACTGATTTTTTTTTAGTTAGAACAAAAAAAATTATTTTTTTAAAAAAATCATGTGTAATTTTTATTTTTTTTTACGTATTAGCCTGGCATTCGATCCTGGATCTCCCTGGTGTCTTTGATGAGGTTACTAAGCTATTGGTGATTTCTTGAAATGCGATTTTCTTCTACAAATAAACTATCATTAATATTCAATATACAAAGATAATGCATTAAACGCCAAATCTTATCAGCCTAATTAATGCTTATTAACAAGTACTATGTACACTGTTACATTCAATTAATTAAGCTAAAAAGCTGATTATAAGTAATATCAAGTTCCATAGATCTCAATCCTTCTGCAGTGCTTCTGGACCAGTAGTTGCAAGTTTGTTAACTAAAGCTAATGCGTTGCTACTCATGTAACTTACATTTGAAACACGATTCAGCAAACTTTCAACGACTTTTCCTTTTCGTCCATCAAATCCATCCAAACACGTATCTTCATCAGTAAGAGCAGCACTTAACCACGTTTTAACATCGCCCATTTGAGAGTCGAATTCCCGAAAATTTAGCTTTCTAAGCATGCCAAGAGATTTATGAAGATTATCGAGCAATTCTTGAAAAGACTCAACGCAATCCAAAAGTGCAACTTTATTTCTTCCTTTTAGGATCGTATCATTTCTACGTATCCACAAGTACTTACTCACTTTTTTTGCTTCTCCTATGGTGACGGAGACCCCGGCTCGGGCCCACCTACTTGGGCTGTGTTTGGCTGTGTGTGAAAATGAAGCCAGTGTGTGAATACAAATATCTCGATAACGAGTCACACTGCAAGCATCTTGGACATAATTGTCCTCAATTTGGGATGTCAATGAGCATAAAAGCATTAGAAGTATGAATGTTAAAAGTGTGCATGGCTGTGTCATCTCAAAGCAGAGACGGCTCAAGCAAATTAGGCAAAAAATTTAAAGGGCCCTTTTGAGAAAGAGAAAATTGGGCAGAAGAAAATCTTCTTGTTCTAAGGGGAGAGATTTACAAATTGGCCTTATAAAGAAACAGGTTTTGGGTGAGTTGGAAAAGTTGAAAGACCCCTTTTTTGAACAGTTTGTTAGAAAAACAAGAAGGTGGTGAATGCAATAAAGGTTGGGAAGGTGACAAGGAAAAGAGATTTAGCACAATATACGATCATGTGAATGGGCAAGGTAGATACGTGAGTTTCTCATGAATCTATTGAAAGCAAGAAGGGCTGTTTGGATTCATTGTATCCCAGGCACGCCTTTTCTAACAAGGCAACTTATGATGTAGTTCAACGTAAAGTATCAATCTCGAGTCACCTCCGATCGACTCACAGATGATATGCTGATGATCGATGTCGAGTAATTGTTAGATCCATCGTCAAAATTGTTTTTATGGGCTCTTAGAAAAATGTCCAAATATGAGGTTGATGTTAGGGAATTTAATTTGTCAAGCCAATAAATACCAATGGTGTTAAGTTTTAACGATAGCAAAACGTAAAATTGCAACCATTTAGCCAAGTAAAGAGAGTCTAAACATTTTGCTTAAACTTTAGTTCTCCACCTTTTCAACCTGATCTTTTTCCATGGCTAGAAGGGTGTTACTTGAACCTAAAGGAGCGTGTTTAACACGTTTAACTTAAATATAACTAGTTGGACCCAATTTATGTTGGGTCAGGGCTAATGCCTATCAAATCTAGGGCCTCGGCCCATTCCTGCTTCTTTGACAAAGTCCCATAAGTCAGATTTTACATTAGGGAAGAATACATAAATAAGGNAGTCCCATAAGTCAGATTTTACATAAGGGAAGAATACATAAATAAGGTGTTTACTTTTACACATTTCAAAAATACCAAAACATGTTCTAAATTTCAAAAATCAGGTTTCTTTAAATTATGAAATAATAATTATTAAATTAATTTATTATTAATATTTAATTCTACTATAAAATAATTAATTCACCCCCACCCCCACCACCACCACCCCTACAACTTCGGGGCTATTCCGACGACCGTTCCAGTCACCACTCTTTTCCGACGACCGTTCTGGTGACTTTTCTGACGGCTTTTCCGATTTCGGCGAATATGTTAAGGTCACAGATCTATACAATTTGGTCATAATTCAATATTTTTTAGGTCACAATTCAAAATTTTCATTGGTCACAATTTGTTTATTGGTCACAATTTAGAAATTTAAAAATCACAATTTGTTCATCGGTCACAGATCTCAAAATTTAGAAGTCACAATACTTATTTAGGTCACCATTTATCAATTTATTGGTCACAATTAATAATTTTTAGATCACAATTAATAATTAGTGGTCACAAACAGTCAAATTATTTGTGACCACCACCACATGGAACAACAAAATCGCCGTCGGATCCACCAAAATCGCCGCCATATCCGCCAACAACAAACATCAACCACATTTTGACTGAAAAACCACCACAGCAACTGACAAACATCAGCCATTACAATCTCCATAACCATCCAATCAAAATCAAGATCGAAACTAAAAAAATAAAAAGGGAAAAATAAGATCCACCGCCACAGATCTGCAAAAATTAGACCAACCACGACCATTCCACCGCACCTCCATCTCCACCGCCAACGCACCTACTCAATCACACTGCCGGACTGTGAACGGAGCATCGCGACGCTGCTGTCGTTCACAGCAGCGTCGCGATGACTCAATCACACTGCCGGACTGCCTCCGCACGCATTCGTTCACAGCAGCGTCGCGACGCTGCTACAACCATCGAAGGGGAGGCGATCGAGGAAGAAAGGGTGGACAGAGGAGGAGAATGGAGGCACTTGAATAGCCTCGGTCGATGATGGAAAGGAAGGGAAGAAGAGTCAGCAGCGACGGCAACGACGGCGGCGACGTTGGCGGCGTTGGCGTTGATTATAGAGACGGGAGATTCAATTGATTTAGGCGGAGGAGATGGTTTGAGAGGAGGTTATTCAATTGATTTAGGGTTTGGTTGGGGGTAGAGAGGATATGGGAGTATAAATAAATTAATTTATTGTAAATAGAAATAAAAATAAAATAATATTTTTAAATTAATAATAAAAACCTGAATTTAGCAAGATGAAACTTGAATCAGAATTAATGAAAACGGTAACTTAAAAGTAGGGCCTCATGTAATTTCATCTTTTAGATTAACCCTAATTTCAAATCCTTCCTTCGAGAAACCTTAAGTTACCACCGAAGTACTCCTGAATTCGCTTGCTTCAGCTTCACTGTACAATCGGTGATTATTGTATCTGTATTTTTACAATATTTAAATTTTGTAGCAGTTTAATCGAGTAAAATTCGAAGTTGATTCATTGGAAGCTACGATTGGGACATGGCTCGTTTCCGAAGCGTAAGCCACGAAATACTATACTTATATATACGTATTACGATTGACTTTTGGTACTTCTTACATTGTGAATTGGAACTGTAGAAGAAGAAAAAACCGTTTGTTAAGCCGATCATCAAGAAGCAGCCGAGTGTGGATCATATTACTGGAGGCAAGATTCCAAAGAGTTTTGTTTTTCCTCGGGGGAAGTTGCCGGGCCCCCTTAGACAATTACAGATGGATTTAAGAAAATTGATGCTTCCTTTTACTGCTCTTAAGCTCAAGGTGAGCATTGCCTGGGAATTCCATAGCAAATTCTATGAAGACATTGATGAATGCATCTGTAAAGTTGCAAGGATGAGTACTTAATAAAATAAGCTGAGTACCTCTATAATGCTCAAATTATGTCATTAAAGGAACTGTGATTTTCAACTAGTAAAGCTGAAAGTTCAATTCAATTCCAGTACCTGAAACTTCTTAAAAATGTGAATCTTTTTGAGGTTTATATTCTGGTGTTGTTGATTCCTAAGCTCTAAACGTATTGTTTATTACCCAATTCTTTTTATGTTGGGCTCATAATTGTTATCCATGAAGATAGACATCAAGCATTCTTGAGGTAATATTTAAGATAAAGTGATTTCCGAATGCCAATGTTCCATTGATGTTTTTAACACATTCTTAAATGAGCATATGTATTAGCATGGAAGTAATTGACCTCTTTTTTGTTTCAGCTTTTATGGCGAAGTTCTTGTATTTGTTTGTATTTAATAAAAGTAGTTATTTGTACTAACAACATTGTTGCAAGATTCAATCAAGAGCGTGATTCTTGAAACTTTAGATGCATAGTGAATTCTGTCTGATCTTCAGTTGGCTAAGTTGATATTCATTGTGATCCACAGGAAAAAAGGCGAAATAATCTCAAAGACTTCTTGAATGTTTCAGGACCTATGGGGGTAACACATTTCCTCATTTTATCTAAAACTGACACGGCACCATACCTGAGAGTTGCTAGGACACCCCAGGGTCCAACGCTTACATTTAAAATAAACGAATACTCATTGGCTTTTGATATTGCTCAAGGTCAATTGCGTCCGAGACGCCCCAAAGATCTTTTCAAAAACTCACCCTTGGTAAGATCACATAAATCCTCGACCAAACTTGAATGCTTGTGTGCAACAAATAACGTGCATACATCTGAAGTTGTCATTTTTTTTTTTTTGCCATTCGGTTACCCTCATGGAAATATTTTTCGTGTTTGAATGTTGTAGATTGTTCTTTCTGGTTTCGGGACTGGGGAGCAACATCTGAAGCTCATTACTATAATGTTTCAAAACATATTTCCTGCCATAGACGTGAACACTGTAAGTGAAGAATCTCCATAACTCAAATCTAATTATAGCTTCAATGCAGTTGTCTCTCTCACAATTATGTGTTTCAGGTCAATCTTTCTTCGTGCCAAAGGATTGTATTACTAAATTACAACAAAGATACGAAGTTGATTGACTTCCGTTACTTCTCCATTAGATTACAACCTGTTGATGTTTCATGCAGAATTACGAAATTTGTGCAAAACCATCAGGTGCCTGATTTGAGAAAATCTTCAAGACGTGAGTGATTTCGTGACAAAGTATGCTCTCTCTCTGGACAGAAGGCAATGCACTTGTACTTCGTATCTTGTTCCCACTGAATTTTACTATAAGCAATTCCTATATACTCCCTCCGTCCCATATATATAGGCTGGGTTTCCTTTTTTTCTTGTCCCAAATATATAGGCTTGTTTCTTAATTGGGAATGTTATGTTTTGTTATTTTACTAATATACCTTTATTTAATTTGCCCAGTTACTAATTCCAACAATAATTTACTTCTAGTTGTTGAAAATTAAATCGGGATAAACTTGGAAAGTTCTTGATAAAAATTGCTTTTCCAATAACATTAAATAAGATTTCTTAATCCGTGTGAAAAATGAAACAAGCCTATATATATGGGACGGAGGTAGTATATTTTTAGTAGTTGATCTTTTATTCATTGCTTGTATATTCCTCTTGGACATCGTTTTTTCCTTTACTGATTGAGTCAAAATAGCTTTAAATTATGAATCTGCATTTCATGTTGTTCTAAGTTACTGGCCATTAATTTTGGTTTAAGCTATATAACATAAATTGTGAAAGCATGTTACATGGAAAATAAATTGTATGTTATCATCATTTTCTGTAACATATCACCCGTTTTCTACCTGATATTGGACTAATTTTTTAATGTTGTCTTATGTGGCTTATTGAAATGCAATGCCCTTTTCTTTTGTCAACTTATATAGCTAGTATAAGTTGCATGATGATTTTAGGAAAAGTAGAACAACAGGGAGTTTTAAGGATTATCTCTGATACTAGATAGAAGTTAATTTTAAGAGTTGAAAAAAGGAGTTTCGAACTTTTGTACCTGAAGTTTAATTCTTTTCGTAACCTGATAAATGGAGGAATTCTTAAAGAAGATTAAGGGTGTGTTCGATAGGGATTAAAATCAGATTAAAATTGAAAAACTAGCTGTTATTGTTGACTTTTATTAGACGGGTGAGACCCAATAACGGCTATATTTTTAATTTTAATTGGATTTTAAACTTGCCCAAACATGCTCTAAATATTGTTTTAGCCCGTCTGCCCCTATTAAATTAAAATTCATTTTTCTCTCTCTTCTTATCAATCACACGTTTTTCAATAAAATAATATTATACATAAACCTAAACATTTTTCTTTCTTTTTCAACCACACATTCTCCAAAAAATTACTATTCTCCTCATTAAAATGTGAAATAATGGAAGCCCAAATTGGGGCTAAAATATATTAGAGGTGGTTTCCCGTTATGGTTTAGTTACGTTTTCCTTTGTTTCCTTGAAGGTCTGGTTATGGATCAGAAAGTGAGGCAGATGATGAAGCTGCAACTGTAATTCTAGCAACTGACCTTGGTAGAGTTACCCGGGCTTCTAACAGAAGTGCTGTTAAGCTTCAAGAGATTGGACCTAGGATTACACTTAAACCCATCAAAGTCGAGGAAGGACTGTGTTCTGGAGGAGTAATATTCAGTGAATATGATATGCTAATCTGAACTGAAAATTTCTATTGATCAGTCAGGTGATTGAAGTTCCATTATTGAAGAAAGCAGTCAACTTGCATCTGGACAGTATAAGGGCTTGTTTGGAGAGATTGTTATAAAATCTTTTTTACCCATCGCACATTTTATGGGGCCCATACCTTTTCACTTTTTAATCTCGACATTCTTTGAAAAAAGTCATTTTCACTTGGAAAAATCTCTCCCAAACAAACAGTAAAATGTCAATACAATGTTCTTTAATTGTGTGGTTAGTAGACAAGTCTCCATTGCAACAGCTTTAACATTCAGTTCCTCGTGTAAGCCTGTAGTGCCATTTAATGGTTGTGCTGTAGACATGAGCATTCAAATTATGGGAACTGAAGAAATTACTTGATTTTGAGTGGCTTGAACTCTCCAGACGCAACTATGGATAGATTTTCCTTTCTTTCCTATTTGTTGATGGTCAGAACATAAACTAGAAAAGGTGTTGCAAGGCTTCATTGTCTTTCAATATTGTTTTCTTTGTCCATGATGTCCCTTGTCAAACTTGTGATATTAAATTGATCGGCATATTATTGCCATCTCAGGCTTCGTTTTCTTTCAGACTTCTTTTTTAAAAATAATTTTCAAATATGATATTTGAATAAACTCCTTTCATTATATGATTGCATTCAATCACGCATATAGCTAATAAATTGATACTTTATTGTTGTCTTTTGGCATGGGTCAAACAAAAAATCAGAAAACCGATGATGAAGAGCAAGAAAACGGTGAAGATGAGGTCAGATTGCAAGAACACGAGGAAGACGAGGAGGAACAAGAAGACGACGTGGAAGAAGATTAGGTTACTGATGTAGTCCGTCAGTGGGGGTAAAGCAGCATGTGACTTTTCTGTACTTCCCTTGATCGCTGTTTCTGCTTTTATTGTTTGCAATAGCATTTGATAAATTTTACAAGGATAATTGTTTATTAAATCATATATAACCGAAGCCATGTGTCTTAACTAAACAATCAATCACAATTTGTTATGGAGGTGAAAGAACAAAGCAAAAGTTGTATGTCAACTCGATTCGTCAAAGAAAATCAATCAACTGATATGTACGAACTTGTTTGGCAAGTAACTTCTTAAGTAAAGATGGGAAATCGGAGCAATTGGCCCTGGCCTTCAAATTTTGGCACAAACATTCGTATCATTTTTCCTTGATGGGCGTAACCGGTTAGTAGGATGATTTTTCATTTCTTTTTGTCATGTTTTGTACTAGGAAGGAGGTGGAGGCGGCAGGTTTTCTGTTGGAGGAAGAGGTGGTAATGCAAGGGTAGAAAAAGCAACATCTTTCCCCTACATACGAATACAAGCATATTCGGTATGGATAAAGATAGTATAATAGACAACTTTTTAATACTTTTCAATGCTATTCAATCAACTAATCGAACATGCTATAAGAGCAAATAAAACAAACAACCTCAATCTTGAATAGTAAATATATAATCGTACTAAATTGCCAAAATCAATAGTAATATTCTCTACTAAACTAAAGAGTTCACGTGCCTCTATAGTTGGCAAAATGAAGGGTAATACTGTCTATGCTTCACAAACTATTGACATCCAATAACTAAATGGGCAATTATATTCACACTATAGTTTTATTAGTTAACCACATTTAAATTTCATTTAAGATCCTCAATCTTTGCTCATTAGTCCTTGTGTCCCTTTTTTTTGCAAATGCATTTTTATCTCAACCTTCATAGATTAGCCTTCAGTAGCACTTCTCGTCTCAGTTAACAATTTTCGACCAAAAAGTCTATTGAGGGCGTACAATAACTTATTTGCCCATAATATTTATAAAAGGAAAATATATGTGAAAGTGCAACAAATTATTTTTCACTCGAAAACAGAAGATTTTGACTGAAACCATTACCAAAGATGAGATGTGCTAATTAATTAAAGCTTGAAGATAAGAAATGAAAAAAATGTTAGGGAGATAAGTTTTACGTGAGCATAAAGGTTGAGCACTGAGTGCAATGAAAATATGGTGCAACAAATAAAAAGTTTGTTGTGAATATAATTACCTCGACATTTTCCTTCATAAGGACACCAACAAGCAACTTCATATACACAACCTGCCGCAGATAACTTCTAATAAATAGGACGCAAATTAGGATGCAAATGTTGGCGGAAAAGCATCTTATAATCACCAAACTGAACTTCGGCAGGTGGGTGCAGATAAAAAACGTATGAAACGGGCTTTGAAGTCGATATTGATTTTCTAGTTGTCACCTCATCAAACAACTGCCCAAAGCTTGATTCATCAAATGGAAATGATTCTCTTAGTAAGAAGAAACTGTCCCGTGCCAACTTTTCCACCTAATAAAACATTCAAGTCAGCAAATATAACCGTATATATCAACTGCAAGAACAGAAAGCCTAAACTCTTTTCCTATTGAAATGAAACGGCAATGTATTAATGATGTCTAGATAACTATCCGACTGTTGTCTTCGGTCTGCAAGCAACTAGCTGTAAGGAGAAAAACAAAAATTTGCAAGAAAAGGCCGAATTTAAAACAGTTTTTGCAATAAATCCTGCTCTATTGGTGAATTTGATAACATATTTACTTCCACAATTCATGTAATGCCACTCCATGCCCATATCTTATCAGATCTCAGATAAAATTTCTTTCTTTTTTAAGATTGTTTTCCCATAATAACGAAACAGATTCATGTTCGAATTAGTTATCAAGCTGAAGCTTTTTTTCAGTCAAGTTCCTTAGCATAAATATTCAACTGTCACCTCCACAATGGAAAACCTAACTATTTTCGGTAAAATTTACACACGCAGGATAAGTGGGAAATAGAATATGTAAGTCAATGTTTGACAAAGCTTTTAGGTGCTCATAGGCTAGTCAAACTTCATTTTTAACCACATATTCCTTAGAACCCAAAACTTTTATCTACGTTTTAACCACACATTCTTTGAGACCCTGTGCTTATAAACACCGAAAAGCTTAACCAAGCAAGAACCAGATTTTCTCCATTACCTGTAACTGGGAAAATCGGATGTTGTTCATGGTTAAGATTACTACCACTTCTTGCAGGGAGTCTGCCAATATTCGGATAGCCAGATACTCAAAAAACGTTTGTATGAAGCTTTTCTGTCCTTCCTTATATTCATGATCAAATCTAGGAAACCATAATACGCATTTGACTTCATTCCATGGAACTGTGTTTTCCCCTGCTCTGGACATGATGGTCTGATATGGATGACTAAGTCCCCACAAAATTTTGATGCCTGATGGGTCAGGAATGAGGGGATCTGGTTGAGATGATGTGGAAATTATACAGGAAGAGTCATAGTGATAAGAAATATATGTAGAAAAATAAAGATCGATGTCCTCCAATAATAGTATGTATCCATCTGAAGAAGACTCAGGAAAAAATCGAACAAGAGATGCTGCATCAGCGTCTCTGTCATCTTGGCTGCACAAACTCAAGTCACTACATGAGATCGCTATTGTACCAGATTCGTGAGAGAAGAAGCATGAATCTCCATTGCGACATCCCTGCAAATACTCCAACCAATTAAGTTACATATAGCCCATGTTTAGTACACATTCTTTAAAACTCATCTTTCCCCAAACTCATTTTCAGTAACACATTCTTCGAATAAAATAATTTTGCATGTGGACCCATAACTTTCCCCTATTTTTTTAACAGATATTCTCAAAAAATCAATTTTCAAAATATCTATATCAAACAGGCCCATAATAACAATTTAAAAGAGCCTATCATTTAGAAATGGCCAAGAGAGAAATTTAGTGAACAAGGGCTGAAATAAGCAAAAATATATACCTGTAAAGAGAAAAAGAATTTGCAAACAGGTCTTTTTGCTTGGAGTGAATGAGAAAATAAACATTGGCTACCCCTGTTGCACAAGCCGTTAATGAAAAATTTACACAGTGATGCACCTCCAGCAACATGACTTCTGTCATCATCGAGTAATCTATGCCGTTCTTCAGATGCATCCTCAGTAAGTTGGATTCTCATCTGTTCCATATGGAAAAAGAAGATATTATCTTCGTGGCAGTGATATGGCACCTTGACAAGCAAAATATGGTACCTCTTTGACGATCAATGCCAAATTTCTAGCCATCTTATCCATTTGATAATCACTGCATCCAGCAAAAGGTACAGCAACACATCTTCTCAACTCACTATCAAGCTCAAGGTGTTCATCCTCTACAGCCAGTGCATCTGTTTCCCCTTTTTGCTCACATTCGAGATGGCATGTGTGAGAGACATATGGATCATTATAAGATGGTAGACTATCAGATATCACCAGAAATTTGGGTCGAACCCGATGCAGAGAATGGAGGATTTCATCATCTGCAAACAACACACTCAGCAGTCAGCATAAATATGTCAAATTTTCAACATGTTGAACCATTTCATCTAAAAGTTTAAGCAGTTAGACCATGATAACTTTTGTTTATATAAATTTAGTCTTCAACACGAGGCGTGCTAGCAGGATTTATTTATTTCAGTAAAAGCTGGACACAAGTACTATTTTCATACATGTATGGTGGTGAAACTTGAACCAGAAATCTTTGCTTGCTATGCTTAAAACATGTCTTCTAGAAGCTTAACATGTAAGAGGAGCACATTTATTTATAATAAATTTAGCCCTAGCGGCCCCCACCCCCAAGTGCAAGCCAGATTAATATTTTCATCAAAGGCCTTGCCCGTACACAATTTTCATTTATGGTGGCTTCGAGACTTGAACTTTGGATCTTTGCCTGCTCTGGGAAAGGGAAAACATTTCAATTCATCATATTTAGTAGGGCTCGGCAAAATGTCCAAACCGAATTGAACCGAATCGAACCGAGCGGGTTTTTTTAGATGAAATACCCGAACGGGTATTCGAATCGAGAACCGAATGGTTTGGTTCGGTTCTCGGTTCTAGACCCAGAACCGAAGAACCGAATAAGAACCGAATTTTTTTTTATATTGGATAAATTAATTTCTTTTATTTTTTCTAAATAAATTAATAATTTTTTTCTTATTAAATCTTATTAGTTGAACAATTTAGAGTTTATTTATGTTTGTTAGTTGTGTTTTTTTCAATTTTTTCTTGTATAGTCTCTTAATAGTTAGTATGGAAAGTCAAGCAACTGATTATTACATTAAATAGTTGGTAAGTATTATCAATACTTTAAAATATTTTATCTTTATTACTTCTAATTTATATTTCATTTTTATGTAGACTTGAATGTTTGAAGCAAATGAATTATTGATATGAATTATCGAAGTTTTATTAGTAATATTTACTTTTTCGTATTTGTATTTGACAACTTATTATTTATATGTTATTAAATTAGATTACGTTAATTTGTAAAAGTTAAGATTGAACTTGGTATTTATATTTACTTTTTGTTATTAATATTAGTATCTACTTTCGGGTGTATTTATGTAGTATTATTTTAAATGTTAAAAAATTTAATTATAGTATGGAACCGAACAGAACCGACCCAACCCTACCCGACCCGACCCGCGCCCACCCCTAATATTTAGTCTTTCAAAAGATATATCAATGCTCAAAGAAGCCATACACGTTTCAGTGACTTGGTGGAGTGCCGGCCGCAAAAGGTAGTGGAATGAACACCATTCTTCCTCAACCTTTGAGTCTAGAATTTGACTGTTTTCCTTATTATCAACCTTAAGAATCTGTTTCAGTCGTTCAAGACGACATTTGTCCTTCAAAAACAAAGCATGCACAGGTTACAAAACTTGAGACAAATCATAAATTCAACGCCAAGATGTCTCCTTAGAAGTGAGTAATATGAGGGTTGGGGCAGAGAGTATATTACCTTGAAAGCACATTGCCAGAACTGAAATGCACTCAAGTTTCCCATATATAGCACCTCCTTCCTACCCAAACCAGTGTCCTTGCTGTTTCCATTATAATAGTAATCAGTGTATTCCACAAACTGAAAATTAATAACTCATAGTCAGTAGAAATAAGATCGACTGAACAATGAAATGTAACACATATTCAATTTGTGGACAATACCCGATTTTCCTGACCAAAAGGAGAAAGAATGGGTAGAGGCTGGAGATCCATCAAAATACCAAATACAATGCCTTCACGTAGCATTCCTATTTCCCCAAATTTGATAATGAGGAGAGAAGCATCAAACGACAGAGAGAAACTGGCAAGCAGTCGTCCAAAAAATGTAGGCTCATGGTGACCCCTAGGAGATGCTTTTTCCAATGCACGAATTTGAACCAGCAGATTCAGTGCATCCTCGACAACATCGGGTTGTGGAGGATCCATGGCCTTCTGCAACAACACTGAAGGGGAAGAAATAGCAGTCTGATTGGCATTGATATACAGAGAACTAGGAATACAAACTATAGAACATACAGAATCCAGTGAAGTCAACGTCACATAACATATAGCATTAAACTCTTGGATTTTATAAATCATTGCTTGGTGAGCACCGGCCAAATTCATTCATGCCTTATTAACAGGAAAAATGCATGTAGACCTGAGAATCTATATCTAAGTGTGGAAGTGTCTAAAAGAGAAAGGTTTTTGGTGGTGATAAAATTGTTTAACAATATCTTATCTTATAGCATAAAAGGATTCCCGATTAATAGCGGATGAATAGTCCATCAAGAAACTAAAGAAGTACTAAGCTCATAAGTGACGGCATAGGTCCTGTTTGCGCATTGATTAAGATGCCATTCAAATGTCTTAAAACAAACAGTTTGCTGGGTATACATATAATATAAAAGTTGATTACTTGCTTAGAAGACTGATGTATATTATAGAGGTGAGAAACAATACTTGCATATTTTTATTGATTTAGGAAAAGTAATATGAAGAGAACTTGAGGGAATCTGTGTTACGTGTTATGTGAAAAATGAATTTTTATCCAATATATCAAGCATATGTACAATAAAACAACTTTGAGCGTGAGATATGGTAAATTCCTATATCGTTTAGCCTGTATCGAGGTTTGACTCCAAGTACTTGTCATTTTTACTCAAGTCAAAGCCACTTCGTGAGTACTAGCTACAGCAAACGACATGGAAAAGATGCATCTCAAAGAATAGTAGGTCAGAAATGGCAAACTACCTTTAGGGTCATTAATGGCTCTAGATTCAGCACAGCAAATGAGAAGTAATTGTTGCCTTAATGACAACCTCAGTATGGCCGGGGGTTCATAATCCACCAGCTGATTAAAGAACAATCTTGTAACCAAGCGATACACGTGACCATCACAAGTCCGACCAGTTCTCCCCCTGCGCTGTTCAGCCTGTGACACAAAAGTTGAAAACAAGAAAATCCAATACGAAAAGTGAACCACAAGGAGCCAAAATTCAAGCAATACCTGGGATTTAGAAACCCATACAAGCTCTGCAGAATCTTTTCTCCGATTAGTATCCCAGTAAACTTGCAACGATCGACAGGAATCAATGACATAGCCTACTTTGGGTATCGTAACAGAAGATTCCGCAATGTTTGTGGCCAATATTATCTGTGTTAGTGATGATGTATTAAATTCACATAAAAAAATATACAGAATGTTCTAGTAAAGATTCTGCAAATGTTTTCATGAACTTTTAATGGACAGTATAACACATCACTGCCATATGCAAGTGAAGTAGGAACTGAAACTGAAAACAGAAAAGAAAATGTTACCTTACGATGGGATTTCCAAATTCTCATTGCCTTGAGAGCTTGTTCAGTGTCAATACTCCGATGTAAAATATGAACCTTGAAACATTCACTGAATGGTTTCAAGAGGAACCACTGCTGTTCCAGCGCATAGAATGTTGGAAGGAAGACCAAAATGCTCTTCTCAATATCTGGTTCGTTTTTGTGAATATATAACACCAAGTCATGTATAAGCTTGTGGACTTCAGGTTTGAAAATTGCTTCAGCCATGATTGGGCTTGGTCCAGAACAATATTTCAAAGAGGGGTCTTCTGATTCCATATCAAGAAGATCGATTACCTTTTCAACAAAAAGTTAACAGGACACCACCTTGATTAGATAACAAAACTAAGTGAAACTCATTCCAGTAGGAAGAATCCATGCTGTCCCATATTTGAAGAATGAATAATGTCACAAGACTTAAGAGATTCATTTTGTATGAATATACGAGCATAACAGAAAAATACCAAGCATTTATTAAAGAAAACATTTATCCAGTTAGGTAAATGGGTATGCATCTCTTGTACTTCCGTTCAAGTTTAAATCATGCCAAAAATGAAGGTTAGATGCCAAATTGACGTTCTGTACTGGAAAAAATGTTATAAAGCCTATGGAAACATGTATAGCAAAAGCATGGCTTCCGTTCAAGCATAAATCATGCCAAAAATACAGGTTAGATGCCAAATAGACATTCTATACTGGAAAAATGGAAAAAAACCAGTGGAAACCTGTGTAGCAAAAAGCATGGGAACAAATTGGTTAATGCAAAATTCCAGTAACCCATTTCGAATAAAAAGGCCTTCAAATGACTTGAAAGGTAATCGATCATTTATGAATGCATTCATAGAGTTCCGCACCACTGTGAAGGCAATGAGGCAATTAAAGTTGATTATATGCAAGTTCCTCTTTACATGGATTTCAACCTAACCTGCCTGCATAGATACATACGTTAAAAAATTGTCAATATGCCTAATAAGAAATCTTAAAATCAAGTATTTCCAAGTTCTCATGATGACGAGCATTTAGAAAATTAGCTATGGCCATTTTAAATTTTTTTTTTTTTTCCCTATAGTTAGGTTTCAATATCATTTGTATTTCTCTGTAATCTACGATTATAGTTGAAGCATTTAATCACATAGCACTCATTGGAGAGACCTCATCCAACCATCAAGAAGTCCTTCAACGGACCGAATAATTGTTGAGACAGAAATATCCGTAGGCGATCAAAAACATAAAACAGTTCACAGTAATGTAACACTAAAAATCAAATTTTTAATGGAAAATAAAGTAAAAGACGTTTCACTATCAGATTACCAAAAGGTCACCACGTGAAGTAATAGCAAGGTAGTGATAGGTAATTCCATAAACATTGCATTGAATGCGATACCTGTTCAAGATATGTCACTTTCCGCTGATATATGATGCTCTTATCTGTGCTAGGAGGGATTGCTAACACTTCTACTCTTTCACCCCTACCAAGATCCTTGAAGTATTCACGATACCTTGAAATATCAGCAGTAGCAGACATCAAAACCACCCTAGAAAACCACAATCCAATTAGAACTGAATCTAAGCCAATCAAATCATGAAGTTTAGATTGATGCTCAGCGTTATGCTAACAGACAAGTAGAAGGAGAACAGACTGAGTCAAAACAATGCTTACCTCATGTCATTATTTTTTAGCAAAAACTGCTTCACGCAAACAAGAACAAGATCAGACTCCACAGATCTTTCATGCACTTCATCAAGAATAATAACTTTATATTTGAGTGCTTTCAATCCCTTCTCTCGCATTTCATCCAACAATACCCCCGCCGTTTTAAATACAATTTTCGATCTGATATAGAAACTTGACACGGTTAGACAATATAAGTCAATGGTTGAAGAGATAGATACAGCAGAGCAAGGAGTAACTTGCGATTAGTTACAGGAAGACCGTAACATTAGAATCCAAAAAGAAGTCAAATTCGTGCTAAACCCAATAAGGCAAATTGTTACATGCCTAAACAAGGGTCTACTAGAATTTGAAGATAGCAATAAAGTTAGAAAGGCGTCAACATCCTTGAGATTCAACCTTGGCCAACCCCCACAACTCTTAGAGTTGTATATCCAATGTTTAAAAAGACGTAACTGGATATCGAGGAGTAACACGTTGAACCAAAAAAAATGTATAAATGATTATTAGAATGCAAAATAAGCAAATAATACAACAATCCCCAAGATACATATTAGAACAATTTAAATTGTGCAAACAAATAAAAGAAACTCTATGAACTAAAAACAAAAGAAACTACTTGGTCCGAGAGTTGACTATTCCCGAATTGGGTCGACAAGAAACACAGATTTTTAGTGTTTTAGTAGTAGATAGTGGAACAGTGGGCTAACACAGAAGTGGGTTGATCCAAATTTTTTTTGTTTTCTGGACCCACACTTAAAGAAAGTAAATAAGTTAGAAAGATATGAAATGCACACCTCGCAAGCCTAGAGGCGCGTGCCTCACTCAACTGAGGAGTGCGCTTGCCTCACATTCAGCACTTACATAAGCTTGCATATGCAAACACCAGGCTTATGTGTTAAAATAAACACATGCAATTCATCAGTGTAAGATAACTATTATATTCTTTATTGGAAAGTTGTTGCCATACTGCACAGTTTAATGTTAGATGCATTTGGAAGAAAAAAATGGGACATCTGGAGACCTTCCTTTAAATTGGTGTTTATAGTTATTTTCTAACATGATCTTTTGCCATATTAGAAGGAAACAGATTCAAATACCAAACAAGAGACGTTAAGAAGCCCTTTTTGGGTTGAAACCGAAAGCAAGCCAGTGAATAACAAATCTTTGCAGATATATCAATCATAAAATTACCTAGCTGAGAAGACCCTTGAGTGACCAATGTGATACCCAACCTCTTCACCTACTTCACAATTACGAGCTTTTGCCACCATTCTTGCAACAGCTACAACAGCAAATCTTCTTGGTTGTGTACAAAGTATAGGCTCCACGTTTTCTTCTAGTAAGAATTGCGGGACTTGCGAGCTCTTTCCTTGAAAAAAGAGCAAATATTTGAGGAATAAAATAACCGGTTTCATCATATGCCAAAACCTTCTCCAGAAAGTAAACCAAATAGCACTGTGTACGAACATTGGAGCGGAGAAAAAATAGTATATGAAAACTGACAAAGAAAAACAAGAGTGGCCGTTGGAATAATTGTCATTCACTTCCGTATATTGCCATCAAATATTCGACAACACAAAGTTTTGGCTTGTACATCTTATTGGCTCTAATTATGCTCCTGGTTATACAATATTTAATTCGGCTTTGATTCTCGAAGATCGAGCATCAGGAATCAAAGGAACTAAAGTCTGCACAGTGCCAACTGAAAAAGATCGAAAATTGCGGCTCTTTCCAACTTCAACATTAGCAACTTATAAACATCAAACAACGATATAGCGAGTAAACAATGCAATGTCAAAAAATTGAAAAATAAAAATGTTGTTGTGAGGTTCACTACCGCAACCGGTTTCGCCAACGATGAGAGTAACTCGATTCTCTAGAATCTTCTCGACGATTTTGTTCCTAAGTGCCATCACCGGAAGGCCGGAGAAGTTCGAATCCGCCGACGACGATGCAACGAACGGCGATGAATACGACGAGTAAGACGACGATGTCGGCGATGACGCCATGGCTGTATAATTTTCCCAAACTCAAATTCAAAACCCTCACAAACTCTCAGCACTGTGTAGGGAAGCAAAAGTATTTGCGTATTATAAGTGGTCTTTTCTTCGATAGAACGAGGACTTACCTTTACTGGAGTCCTTTTCTGTGAATACTTTGTACGGATTTAACGCGCTTGAAAGTTTGTGAGATTAGTACTCGCGGTCAATTGCCGTAGATTTTGGGAAGGGGTTGGATGTGGCCAAATCGTAGGGTTTTACGAACGCGTGGTATAATCACGGCGTGTTTGCTTGATTTATTTCGTACAGAAGGTGGGTCCGAATGGAAGAATTCAATTGGACATTGATTGCTGCTTTTGAGTGGATTCTCCGCCTTCGCATATTCTTTTCTTTGTTTACAAACTATTAATTACACATTTTTTAATTAATTAGAAAATAATATTAATTACATATTTTTTAATAAAATAATATTACACGTAAATTTAATTTTTTTTTCTAAAAATTATATTCTCAAATAATAAGAGCTTAATTTCCTTATTGACATCCAAAATATAAAATTAATTAAAATTTTAAAAGGTTTATTTAGCCATGTTTGATAGAGATTTTTTTCCAAATTTATTTTTAGTCAAATTCTTTCAATAAAACTATTTTACACGTGAACCTATTTTAGAGGGTATTTGGTGGAGATTAAAATTAGATTTTTAGTAAATTGTGATAGAAGTTTTTGAAATGTGTAGTTAAAAAGTTATGGGACCCATGAAAGATGTGGTTAATATTGATTGTTTGACTTTGACTCAGATTTTAATCCGAACTAAACGTGGCTTATACTTTTTAATCACACATTCAAAAAAAAAAACCTCAAACATGCCTTTAATTTATTTAAGGTCAATATAGAGAATGTAATTTTTTCGTTTGATCAATATATTCTATCCTAAAGATTAATAAAATATATGTTTGTCTCTGCTTAGAAAAAACAACTTCAATAATATGGCACGACTTGATTGTTTTATTTTTGTCTTCTTTTTACATCCAAAATCAATTGTTTGCTATCGTAAGAGATATAAAAAGTTTTATTCAATATTCATAAAATTATTTCAGATTTCGTACGATTACTTTCTTAATAGGGTGACGATGAACTAAACAACAACCATGTCCTAGCTCCAATTTGTTATGGATAGTGGGATGCATGGCCAAATATTGAACTCTCCACCAATGGAAACTTATCGAGACGTTAGGTCCCGTTAATAATTTCTTATTGTTCTTACAAAGAGACATTCTCACAATAATTCACCTATAAATAATGCATGACCTTGACAACTGTCCGGATCATGTCCAATTTTGGACTCAACAATGGGTATGCTAGGTCTTGTACGATTGGTATCATTCATCCATTCATTATTGGTGTAAGCTTCACAATAATTCTGTTACTTTGAAGCAGGCACCTAGTTACTAAACTACTGTCTGAATTTATTTTTATGCAAATCTCAGAGATGGATTTAATAATTGGAGTATGATACTATAAATAATTTATAATACTGAACATGGCATAATACTTGAAAGGAAAATGTTTGCTATTTACATAATGTTTTACATGAGGTGTCAAACTGTAAGTCCTTTGAATTCCTCTTCACTGCCAAGGTTCAGATTTTGTCAATTCCGCCATGGTAAATTCTTAATTCCGATTCCCGCAAATCTTTATTCAGAATTTCAATATTTTATCTTCATATTTATTCAGAATTAATGTACGTATACAAACACATACACTTGCGCATTTGTATGTTTATGAGTTTTTTCTCATTTCAAGTTCGAAACTAGTTATGCGCTCCTTGATTATTAGTTTTTCACCAACATTTTGTTCATGGATTGCTATTGTTCCACACTTCAGCGTTCTACTTTCCGAGAGTTATTTTTGTTTATTTTTCCAATCTTCATTGCTTTCGTTTATGCTGCCAAATTCCTTTTTTTTTTGTTTTTTTGAGGAAATTGCACCATATGTCAATTTTTGGCTATAAATTTACAAAAATGTCACTTTTTTTAAGTCATTACAAGATTGTCAATTTTTGACATTTTTATCCCTCTGCATAATTTGTATACCTTCCATGTCCAGCATTATTTGAGAATTGACTATACGTAAAATTTGTACAAGATGTCAGTTATATAGTACAATTGGAGTAAAAAAAAACCAAAAAAGAAATGAAATGGACGACATTAACTCACTTTCTCACTCCACTGACCACTTTACCACCCAAGAGAAGAACCCAACGCCTTCATCGGACTTCGACATAGACTTTGGCAACGAGCAGTAAGAAGACGAAGAAGGATACATCGCAGCGGCCGGCGCGGTGAAGGAGGAGCTCAAGCGCGAGATCGAGGACAGAAGTACTTCAATCGTAGGTTATAATTTATTTTATTTCTTCATGTTTTAAAAAGGCTTAAGAAACCCCAATTTACAGTTTTTTTTGGAACTTTTTGGTTCTTAAATTCTTCAGAAATCAGATTATTTTTACACTTGAGGAACTAATTTCCATTTTGTACGTAGAAATTTGCAAACCCATCTCAAGCAGGTTTGTTTTATCAGTTTTTTGAACCTGTTATTTGTGATTCTTAGAAACAATTTGATGTCAAAAATTGAATATATTGCAGTTTTCTTTTTGTACCCCTTCTCAGCTTAAATTGTTGGAATATTATGGTGTCCTTGTTTTTTAATTGATTTAATTTGGCTTATTTGTAGATATTTGATTTTATTTCTCATTCTTTGAACTTGCCATGTTTATGTCGTGATATCTAATTTTTGGTAATTTGAAAATTATAATTAGTACATGTGAATACTGGAAATTTTTGTTTACAATTCAAAGGGGTTTTTAAACACTGGCCAAGTCCAAAACTAACTATCTGACAATTCAAGTTGGACATTTTAAAAACAATATTTTGTAGTAGGTTCATACTAATGCAGAGTCATGCATATTGGCCTCAAAGCTAAGATGGTTGGGCAAGTCATCATGGAAGCTAAATATGGGATCAATTTACTAGATATCAGAAGAACTAATCCAGTTTTTTATAATGAATTTCAAAGGTGGATGATTTCATCAGTAATGCCCAATTTTGTGTATATATATTCATTCTTAATCAATGGAAAAGTCAAGTCATTGTTTCTCAATACTCCTCTCTCTACTTCAACAATAATAATGGGAAGTGAGTGAATTTCGCCATCAAGGTAGTGTTCATGCCTCATAATGTGATAAAGTTGAAATATATATATTAATCTTTGTTAGGGACCAACTTGTAGCCTTTGTTAATTGTTAGGGACTATAGTGCAATTTCTCTTTTCTTCTCTTTTCCATTCGGTATATACTTGTATTTTTTCAACCTATCAATATACAAGAATCTTTCCTCCCAATTCTACTGATAATTGTCCGAGCTTGTTTAAGTTTTTTTTATTGTTATTAAGGTAGATTTAGATAAGAGGAAATTACACCAATTGTCATTTTGCTATCATGTATGTACCAAAATGTCACATTTTTTAAGAAGTTGCAAGAATGTCAAAATTGGACATTTTTACCCTTCTGCATAATTTAAATGCCTTCCATGTTTTGCATTGATTGAGATTTGACTACACATGAAAATTGTCCAATTTGTCATAAGCAAGTACTACCAAACCGTCAAAACAAGGGAAAAAGGGGGGAAATCAATTTAATCTCCAAAACTGTTCACCTCCTCCGGTCAGAGAAAGAGAAAGGCGAAGACAACCTCCACCGGCCAACCTCTTGTGAGTCCCACCGTGAACGGCCACCACCGGCCAAAGCAAGAGACCAAATTAACTAGCGAGAAACACACAAAAGAGGGAAACTTCGAACCATAAAGCCTGTAACCAGTATACAATACCAAATTCTAGGGTTGAATCTTGTACACACATATACACATCACCTCTATATTTTAATTACATTTTCCTTGAAGATGCATAAAGAGATTCCCAATGGAAGAAGGCAGGGCTACCTCTGCTTTGGTAGCCTCTCATTCCGCTCATGTAACCGTTGATTCTTCAGGTTTTTTTTTCACATTAATTCGCGTTTTTTGTGAATCTTGAAGTCACATTGTGCTTGTGTGTTTGAATGTGTAGTTATGGTTCATATTCTTTTGGTTTTGTTAAGTTTGTTGTGTTGTAAATTGTTTGTGCGATTTTGATTATGAGAAAAATAGAGTAATTGGGGTTTGTAACTTTGTATATTAGGTATTGAGAAAGTGGCGGAAACGATTTTGAAGGGATTTACTATTTTGACAACGGCCCTCTGTCTATCCAGTATTTGTTTGTGTTGGATACACTAAATTTTTGTTTCTGGCCAGGTAATCTGTCTATTTCTTTTTCAATAACTTAATTTATTCAGTTTATACTTATTTTTTTAGTTTATTCTCACCTCTCATCTTTAGTTGGTTATTAGTTTCTCTTCAGCTTCATCTTATATGCAATTTTATCATTTTCACACGTTTATGTTATCACCTTTTTCTACTAAAAGAATTGCTTCAATATTGTAAAAGATCAGTGCTTTGTTCTTATGAGGTATTCCTTTTTCCTGTTAATAAGATTTACTACCATTTCTTGGTGCAATTTTTGGCGAGAGAATCAGGTGTTGATGAAAAGTTTAGCCATTTTTAGTTAGAATTTTTTGCTGCATGTTGATTGATAATTAGGCATTTTTAGCGTTGGTGATTTCAACATTTGAGTCTTATCCTACTATCTAAGAAGAAGAAAGGGCAACATTAACTTCGCCCACAATTGAGAAAAAAGTGATAGCATATTCTTAGTTTTTAGTTCCTGAATCAGAAGTTTGATGAATATATGAAAACATAGTTACATGAGAGAAGAATGGAGAGGGTGGAATAGAGCAGTGAGGGATGTAATTAAGGATTTGAGGTTGGTTAATTAAGTATTTCAAACACTTTAGGAAACTGTTGGAGTATAGATTGGATTTGTGGACTTGGAATAGAGTTAGTATAACAAAAAGGCATTTCCA